GTCACATCGTCGCCCCGAACTGTTGTTACTCGCGTTTCTTGCTGCGTCTGCGTGACGAACTCCGGGATGGGCTGGTTGATGGTGAGGACCTCGGTGCGCGTGACCTCCACCGGGATAATGTCCGTCTGCGTGCGAGTGTTCGTGACGACGTTGACCCCCGAGACGAAGCGAGTGGTGGTGATGGTCATCGTCCTCGTCATGGCCGCGCTCGTGATGGTGCTTGTTACGGCGCCACCGTTGAACACGGTGGAGGTGACCGTGGTGAAGCTCGTCTGGAACTGCGTCTGCACGCCGCCGGTCGTCTGGAACACAGTGGTTGACACGACCTGCGTCTGGATGAAGGTGGAGGTGCTGACCACAGTGCTGCCTTGGTTGACGGTTGACAGGCTGACGGAGGTGACGATGCGCGTGTCATATACCATAGAGGTGACGGGCGGACACGTGTGGTAGTGGATGGGAGGCGACGGGATATAATTGCCATAGTGGCCATATTCCGGTTCTGAATCAGCCAAGACCAGAGTCACCAGCAGCAGTGTCGTCGTCACCGTCAAGCGCCACATCCTGCAAAGAGAAATTCCACAGATTAGAGCAGCGGTGATTGGAACCCCCGCGTCTCGATCACTCATTTGGGAATAAAGTCCAATCACGCGCCCCTCTATCTGTGCAACTTCTCCATGCGGTGTGGGCTGACCCGAGAGGACTTTATCGCCCAGATGAGCCGCGAGACTTAACTGGTCACTTAGGGTATGGTCTTCTAATTACCAGACTATTTAGCGTGAAACGTGAGACTGAACGGGCAGCTTACCTTTTGATATTGGCTGGATTCTCATTACTCTAGTATTGGGTCGCATGATTTTATTTCTATGTGTATAGGTGAGCATATTATTTTTCAATGTGCAAGGTTTTTACTTTATCAGTAATGCAATTATATGATAATCTTTCACAAGTAAACAGTGTTTTTGTTCTGTACAGATGAGATACCAAATAAAATATGAGAACTGACTTATTTGGAGATATACTCGCAATTATGATTGATTTAGTGCATGACAAGTGAATTATCGGTGCAGAACTCATTACTATTTTTGAATCATTAAACAAATGGATTAATTATTTGCCAAGATAATATGCTTCCAGGTTTCCTCAACTAACAAATAATACGTGTTATGTGACGTGTTATATATTTTATTCTCTACATGTAAAACTATTTTGCATTTGCTTCAATGAGAATAAGCTGTTAAGTTCTCAATGATTGTCACGCCAAGGTAAGGCAACTAATATAAAGTAAAGAATGTATCAGGTGTGCAGAAGCACATGCTTAACGCCAAAGAAATTATGTATTTCTCAGATCCCATTCCGTGGAGTTGCTTGTCACTTAATCTATGCGAAGAACACTCACTATGCTCATGATTATTGCTAGAACCAATATATGTGCATATGTATGTCGAGATTTGGGGGCATTTTGATATAGCTCACTTGTATCTGCATAATTCACTTGTCACCGATTACTAATAAAAATAAACAATCTGAAAAAAAAAGATCCAGAACCTGCACTTCACTGCGTCGCTAGCAGCTCTTTTCTTTGCACATTCATCTTTTAATAACACTCAACAGCAACGGCGCAAAAATCAGTATTTTTTCAAGAAAAGGCAAATTATCAGGAAGACAAAGGCAAAGGCAGAAAGGGAAAGAAAGGCGGAGACACCCACCTTAAGTGCTAGAAGACAGACGAACTATGCGAGGGGCACTGAGCGCCGAGAGACGTCCGGCCGTAGTGTCACGTGGGTGCCAGTTCGGGTGCCATTTATACCTGTGCTTTTGGAAGAGAGAAATTCGATGGACCAAAAAGCATGAACAGAAGGGGAGGGAGGAGAGGGGAGAGGGGGTGGGGGTGGGGAGAGGAGGAGAGGGGGGAGGAGAGGAGGAGGAAGGAGAAGAAGGGGAGGGATGGAGTAGAGGGAGGATGAAGGGAGAGAGGAGGAGAGGGGAAGGACTGAGGGTGAACCTCGACATCAATGGGAAAGCTGCAGTATTAGCATTGGGGCGAGGTTGGAGGGGGGAGGGGGAGGAGAGGTGGAGGTCAGGTGACATGACGGTGAACTACTGATTTCTTTTATTCATGTTTGGATATATCGTTCACGCAAAGGGGATTTATAGATACGGAAAAAAAGGTTCGAGTGTCATAAGCGATTATTTCTTGATCATTAAACTGGAATGATATATGCTTTGTCAAAAGACCGTGATTATGCTTCTATTCCCCTCACTGGCACTTCCAATAAGGCTTCCATTATGACATACGGTTGCATTAACTTACAGGAAAATGTAAATATAGTAATTTTCTCCCACTGTGTCCCGTAGTCTATGCTCACTTTCTAACCTGCTTGATATAATATACCCTATCTACATAGATTCAATTCTAAATCACCCACCTCTATTTATTCTGCATCTATCCTCCTCTATTTATTCTACTTCCATATACTTCTATCAAATCTTACATCTACTA